CCAGCTCAGCCCACCAGGGGGCGGGGCTGGCTGGCATGTGGTGCTGGGGGATTGAACCGTGGTCCCTGTGCTTTGCTAAGCTTGGTCTAAGTAGGTGCTTTAGACCACTGAGTCATCTTACCAGCCCTTTGGGCAGTGTTTTAAGCTGATTCAAATGTGGAAAATTTTATGAAGGCTATGTCTTAGGCCACTATCTTTACCTTTCTTTGTGTACATTAGTTTTTTATTGTCTTTGCTGACGTGCTGGCCAAAATTTCCTTTTGCTATTTTTTTGCAAAATAAAATTTCTCTTAGTTAGGTTTTGGGGATTAATAATAAATCTTCGGGGCTGGCCAGATAGCTCAGTGGATTAAAATGCCTGCTTAGGCAGATGCAGGGGTTGGAGGTTTGATTCCTGGCCTGACGTGCCGGCCCTGCCCCCGGGGTATTCTGGGACAGGGATTGAGACTGGGTATGGTGGCCTGTGTTGTAATCTCAGCACTTGGGAGGCTGAAAACAGGAGAATCACTGAGTCCAGTCGACATAGTGAGATCCTGTACACCTGGTAGACCCTGCACTAAATACAGAGGAGAGAGAGAGAGAGAGAGAGAGAGAGAGAGAGAGAGAGAGAGAGAGAGAGAAATATATCTTCACTAAGAATAAAAATGCATATTTTTTTCCCCCTAGGACTCTTTAATTCGAGTAAAGAGCTGATTCTTTGCCTTTTAGGCTCTGTAACTGAAATTTTATCCCTAAAATTTATTTATTTATTTATTTTAAATTTTATTTATTTATGTGTGTGTGTGTGTGTGGCCAGCTCAGCCCACCAGGGGGCGCGGCTGGCTGGCATGTGGTGCTGGAGGATGGAACTGAGGTTCCTGTGCTTTGCCAATCTTGTTCCAAGTAGGTGCTTTAGACCACTGAGCCATCTCTCCAGCCCCTCCCTAAAATTTAAATAGCTATTCAAAAAAAAAATGTGTGTGTGTATATATATATATTTATTTATTTATTTTTCCCAGAACCGGGGATTGAACTCAGGCCCTTGTGCTTGCCAGGCAAGTACATATTCTACTGAGCCATCTCCCTGGCCCCAAAAAATATTTTTAAAAATTTACGATGATACATTAGCTTTTCTTTTCTGCCTTTTCTAAAGTTGTCCGTCAACTTTTTTGAAATTTATTTTTATTTTTGTTTTTTGAACTCAGGATCCTGCACTTGCCAGATAAGCACTTATTCTACTGAGCTGTCTCCCTGGGCCCCTAAAGTTGTCCCTCACCTTTGGGTTCTTGTGATATCCACATAGTAATTAAATACTTAAAAAAAAAAAAAATATATATATATATATATATACATATACAGTGTATTTATATATGATATCAAGCAATATATGTACATAAAAGCAATATATATAATTGTTTAGGTATCATGTTATCTTTATTCCTAAAGTAATGCTACCTATAAATAAATTTTACAAGTATGTTATTTTTTAGCATTCTTAATTACAGAACAAAGTATTTTTACAGGTGCGATTATTATAAGAGTACGTAGAGGTTATCAGTGAACGAGAAATGGAAATCACTTCAATCCAGCTCTCATTTTACAGGGAAGAAAGACTACAGTTGGGCGATCAGTTATTTTTTAAAGATTGTCTAGCTAGAGTAAGAATGAAAACTAATACAAGTCTTAACATTTTTTTTTCTTACTTTAATACTAAGTTTATAATTCGGAACATGCCAGAACTTTGGCACTATTTTACTATATTCTGTTTCTTTTTTATGAGAATTCTGAAAGGTGAGTGTGTACTTTATCTGTTTTGTCTTAGTGGAAACTGAGATTAGGATTGCTGAAGCAGCTTGCCTAGCTTAAAATTACTTGTAAAGAGAAGAATGGGGATAAGAATTCACTTGTGTTTGAATCTGAAGTGCATCACTATTAATACCCCTTTTATATTTGATTAAATGGAGAAAGAAAAGAAATTTTACTGAAGTGCTGTGATAACTGAAGGACATGGAACTGCTCATTCCATACTCGGTGGAGAATTTCTCTGGAAATTAATTTGTACTGGATAAGCACTCCCCTTGCTTCACAACCCTGTTTTTCTTTCAGGTATCTCGTCACGAACGTCGCATTTCTCAGATTCAGCAGTTGAATCAGATGCCTTTGTATCCCACTGAGAAAATTATATGGGATGAAAATATTGTCCCAACTGAGTACTATTCTGGAGAAGGTATGGTAAAGAAATCCAGGATTCAGGTGTAATGTGAAACCTAATTTAGAATTCATCAGATGTAATGGAAAATTACTGGAGTTGACTCTATACATTATTTTGTTAAATTTAGACTGATTTGTTTCATCGTGCATAAAATAGGACCTTAAAACAGTAAGGCAGTGTTTTAAGGAAACAGTAGATAGCATCTTCATTGTACCAGTGTGGCGGGTACATGTAACAGCACTTTATTTTTCAGAGCCTTTTTAGAAGTTCTTTTGAGTTCTTTTTTGAGCTGTGTGATGACCAACAAAAGACATTTGCCCTTAGTTGATAATAAGCCTTAATTTTCATCCAAAATGCTAACATTTTTGTTCACCTACCTATTTCACCAGAGTTCTTAATCTCTTTTGCCCATCTTGTGTGGATGAGTGTTTGCCAGGAGTGTATGCATGCAGTAATGCCCTCTGCTGTAACATGCAGGCATGTTTTGGAAGATGGTCCATGATATTTTACAAAAAGTGGCATCATTATTAGAAGAGATGTGACTGTTTTAAAGACCTCTCAACTATAAGTACTGGTGCATTTATTTATTTGAAAGAAAAATTACTTAGGAGTCATATCTGAGAAACATAAATCCAATAAAACCCATGCACTGATTCTGTTAGATTTCAGAATAGGCAGTCTTAGTGTCTTTTTCATATTCTTACAGTGAATAGGTGCTTTGAGGTAGAAGGAGGAGCTGCAACCAGGAACGGGCACAAGGGACAGATGGTCATGAAGTTTTATTTTAAAATATCCTTTACTGGATATCCATCCCCCTTTTTTTTTTTTTATCCATCCCCTTCTATCCTTGCCTTTTTCTTTTGAA